TCCCATATTATTTTGGGCAACCTTTCTTTTCCCATCCCGCACATGGGATATTGCCATGTCAGTTTCCTTATTTTTTTTCTTGACCGTAGGGATTGGTTCCCCAGTTTTGCCCTGAGGGCTGCATTATTTGTGCGTTTGGGGCATCTTAGGATGATTTTCGCTGTTTTCTTTTGGGCCGCCTGGAGTTTTTTCACTGCTTTTTTATTTTTTTTCCCATATTTTTCGGGCGTATTCTAGGGGCGGTAGGGGGGGGGGGGGGGGGGAGGGGGTTGGTTTGTGCGGTTGCTGCCTGGTGCTGCTGCTGCTGCTCGTGGTGGCGTTGCTGCTGCTGCTTTAGTGTCGACGTTGCTGCTGTATCTGGAGTTGGTGTTGGTGCTGGTGATGTTGCTTGTGTTGTTGTCACTCGCTGTCGTTGTTTTCACTTCTTGTTGTTGCTTTCGCTGTTGTTGTGATTACTTGCAGAGCTGGTTTCTTCCCGTGTCGCCGTAGTCGCTGCTGGTGCGTTCCGTGTCCGGAACCACCCTGACTCATGTGCCGAGCGGCACACCCCACGGCCCCCCTGGGGCTTGAGATGAATTTGTTTAGACGCAAACCGGTGTATCAACTCCGTGAGGAGGGGGTTGGTGTTGACTCATCTTCGACGCAGCATACCCCCACGTTTCCGCAGCGCTCCCTGCGGGCGGGGCAAGACATGAATTCCAAGGCAAGGAGTGCTTGGACCCGACACTATACTCCAGAAGAGAGCAAAAATGACGACCAACCCGTTTCAAGAGCGTCAACAAGAAAAAAAGCCTTCCCCCACCCCCCCGCCCGCAACGACGCCCGCGTCAACGAAACTTTCTTTTTGCAGGCGAGCTTCGAGCGGTGGCTCGGCTCCCAACCCCCCTCGTCCAAATCTTGGATCAAGGCCCTAGGTCAGGACTCCCACACGGCCGGTCGATTGGTGCTGGTGCCGTCCTCCGTCGGCGATGGCGGTGGGCAGGAGGGGGGGGAGGTTTCCCTCTCGGAGGTGGCGTTTTGCCTCGGGGAAGGGGATGATTCCGCGGTGTCCCCGTTCTCCTTGTGTTCGCTCCGTGAGAAGGTGGGAGAGAGAGAGAGACTGAGAGAGAGGGAAAGCGAGAGAGAGAGACAGAGAGAGAGAGAAAGGGGGAGGGAGGGAGGGAGAGAGTGTCGTCAGCGAAGAGAACACGAACAGGGATTTTTTTGCTGCACACGGGGAAAGTGGGAGGTTTTCGGACCCTTTTTTTCCGTCGGCGTGTGAGTGAAGAAAATGTCGTCGAAAAATGCTTTCTTCCCTTAGTGTCCACCGCGAGGGTTGTTTGAGTGTGCTTTGCTGTGCAAGTGCCTCGCGCCCCTGCTGCAGCGGCAGTACGCACGTACGTTTCCGCCTGTGTTCTGGTGTACTCAGTAGTGTTTGTGCTGCCATTCTTCCGAGATTTCTGCCGCTGCATAACCTTGCTTAGATGTGTGGGGGCATTGTTGTGGTGTTTCAGCCGAACCCTTCACTTCTCGCGTGTCTTTCGCGTTTCCCCATCTTTGTCGTGTCCCCTCTATCTCTTGTTTGTCTGTCTGTTGTCTCTCTGTCTGTCTTGTCTGTCTGTCTGTCTGTCTGTCTGTCTGTCTGTCTGTCTGTCTGTCTGTCTGTCTGTCTGTCTGTCTGTCTGTCTGTCTGTCTGTCTGACTGACTGTCTGCCTTACCTGTCCGTCTGTCTATCTCTCTGCCGTTTTCCCTGACTGGTCGTTGCTGTCTGCGTGTGCTTCAGCTTCCCACGGGCACTTACGCCCTGCGCGGAGCGGATGGGGACGTGGCCGAGCCGGACACTGCGGCTCTCTCTTGGGCGATCGGGGGATACTCGTAAGTCATAGCAGTAGCATTCCTTGTCCTTGGCTTTCACAACACAACGGCATTCCGATCTCAGTAGTCAACCGAGAAAGGCAGACGGCAAGGGTTCAGGCGTAGCCAGAGCCTTGCCACTCTCAACCCCCCATCCCGTCTCGGCCGGCCTTGTTGCCATTTCGTGTCGTAGACCAGTACGCCACACGAAGTCCGCAGCACTTTTGCGTGCCGAGCGCTACGACGTGGCTGCTGCTGCTGCTGCTGCTGCTGCTGCTGCTGCTGGTTTAACTTGACTGCTGTAACCGATTTGTGCTGCTACTTCCGCTGCTGCTGCGACTGCCGCTGCCGCTGCCGCTACTGCTGACGTTCGTTTCAATCGCGGTTCGAAGCTTTGACCGGTTCAAGAGCAAGAAGGGCGACGGGGGCGAGAAGGACAAGGAGAAGGAGGACAGGAAGGTAGTGCTGGCGTGGCCGGCGGGTGCCGACAAGGGCCGGGTTACCGCGGCGGCGGCGTCGACGTTCCTGGTGCGGGACCTGATCACCACACCCTGCGAGCACATGGGCCCTCAGCAACTCGAGGTGAATGAAGACTTGTATGAATTTTGTTCTTCTCTTCAAAGTATGTGACCACGGGAATCGAAACGTAAGTGTTCGATCAGTACGGACAGATGGATGTATTCGGTAGAGATATCGATCGGAACGATTTTTAATGAGAAGAGAACAACAACAACACAACAACAACAACACGTGCTTCTTAGATTTGTAAAACAATATTTTCGATAGTTTTTTTGTTGTCCTTCAGAACACCCCGACAATATTTGTATTAATGTAATCCGCACCAGTGTGCTGACACCTTCAGCTGAAAGGAAAATATGTTGGTCGGCCTGGTTCAACCGGCGCTGCAACTACGACGCGTTTGGGGTGATCACGTGCGGCCTAAGTATCTAGTTAGGCGTGGGAGATTCTTGACAAGATCAAGGAACTAGACGTGAGGGTTCAACCCCGAGACAGTGTAACGTATCGCTCTTCCAAATGAACACACCAGTGTACCTATTTTGGCGGGTAGGTGGAAGAGGATTCTCCCTGGGAGTGAGGACACGAACTAAAACTATTTCACCACGGCGGTCCACTGGCCCTGGATTGTTTAGTTGGGAATCTGAGCTCTTAGGTCCGACCCGGAGAGCTAATTGTTTTGTGTCATGCAATTTCGTCGTTGGCTTTTTATCATGGCACCCCCGGCTAATCATAATACTTCGATCCCCGTGCGGAAACTCAGTTGAATCCATTTATTCTTGATTTTTTATGGCGCGGCGGTGCCAACTCTCGGATGTTGAACGGCTGTCAGAGCCATTATTTTGTTTTTTGGTTCTGACTCTGGCTGCCCCGCTCCCCCCCCCCCCCCCCCTCGCCAAAGACGTACCCCCTTTTTTCGAGAAGGCCGTGTTCGCCTCGCTGGCGGAGGAGTTTGGTGGGACCACGAAGGTGGTGCGGGGAGATGAATTGCTCGAAGGAGGTGTGACAGCTATCCAATGGTAAGGGGCAAAGGATGAATCATGGCACAGCACAGCAGCACAGAACACACCCGCAACCAAGCTGTGTTTTTTGTGATTTATTCATTTAGGCTCACACGTTGTTGTCGGGAAGAATAAGAGGTACGCGCTGAGAAACACAGGTCGGCGGCGGGTCCTACTTTAAAGCTCAAAATAAGAACTTGTGCTTGACGCAGCGACGGCGTAGTACATCGAGCCTCGACCTGAAGAATTGACGTGTCTTATTTGTGGTGCCGAACTGTTCAGCACAGCTTGCCATGTTTGAGAAGTGTGTTCACGTGTTGGGTACGAGCACAGATCTGACGAGCTCTTGCGTATTTGTGTGCGTGTGCATGTTTTTTTTTGCTCAGGAAATATACCTACAACCAAAGAAAGACTACCAATACCCATTCGAGATATAACGAAGGGGATGAGTTGAAGTACATTTGAAAGCAGTGACTGGGGACAAAATCGGGTGGATACTGATGGGGATATTTTTGTTTCTTTGTGTTGCTGCCGGACAGGTTCATGCCGTCGGGCGCGCGGCCGGGGTCGGGCGGGAGCCCCGGCTTCTCGACTTGACGTGGGCGCCTGCTGGCTCCGACGCCGAGAGCCTCCCCAAGGTGCGCGTTTGTTTTAGCACGTCTGCGGGCGAGCAGTGGGCATGCGCATTCCTCGCTAGGTGCAGGGGAGCATGTGCGCCCGCGTGTGCAAGAAACGGCGAACACACGTAGTCCGAGCCACGAAAGCGGTAGCTACAAAACCCAAGAGACGGCGCACGACAGCGCACAGTTGGTGTTGTGCTCGCTTGCCTCGACTATCACCATTGGTCTACAGAAAATAGTCTCCCTTTCCGATAACGGCAACGTAGCTACGGGCCTGGAAATTCATGATGCCACCGCCGTAGCTACCATATCCTCCAAGGCCCCGAACGTTGTGTCGCTTTTTTTGTCGGCTTCCTGCTTGGTTTTTGCCGCCTCCGAATTTTAAGGGGGGCACGGGTATTCCGTCCAAGAAGTAATCAGTCCTGTCAGTGTTGTTCAGAAATAATGGTTGGGATGCGGATCGATCCCCTCAAGCTAAAAGGACAACCAATCAAATGAGGCGCAGGTCACCTTGTTGTCTCTTGATACCCGTGCTGACCACCAACCGGCGACTGTAGTCTTGTTCTTGCATGTGGTACGTTTATTTTAAAACATCCAATCTTTCGTCTCTCCAATCCTTCGGATTTCTAATCTTTCGGATTTCTCTCGCTCTCTCTCCCCCCCGCCCCCCCCCCCCCCCCTCTCCTCCTCTTTCTCCCTCCCTCTCTCTCTGTGTGTGTGTCTCTCTCTCTCGTTCTCTCCCTCTCTCTCTCTGTTCTTTTCGTCTTGTTTCTCTTTTGTGGAAGGTGACCCTCGTGGGCAAGGGTGTCTGCTTCGACACCGGCGGGCTGGACATCAAGCCGGCCGCCGGCATGCTCACCATGAAGAAGGACATGGGCGGGGGCGCGCAGGTGGGGATATTGGTGTGTCGGTTAGGCGGCGTGCGTGGCTCGCTCTGGGTAGATGTCATTCCTCCTCTCAGTTGTGTCTGTTCTCTGTTCTATTTTGTTATTTTTTGTTCTCTTCTCTTCTCTTCTCTTCTCTTCTGTTCTTTTATTTTCTGTTGTGTTCTGTTCTCGGTTCTACCTTGTTCTGTTCTTTCGCCAGCGACGGGTGGCTGCGTGCTTGCAACAACGAGCACACGTCCATTCCCTGGCTTTTGTTGTGCTTCGGGGGCCGAGATTGGAGAATTAGTTGGTGGAAAAGCTTCAGGTGGCCTCTTTCTTCGTGTCGGGCTTAACGCAGAATTAAACTTTCATGCTGTTTATACCGTCGGCCGTGCTGTAGCCGGCTGACGGTGTTATGTGTGCGTGCGTGTTTGTCTTTTGGGAGAGAACGAGGACTAGTGTGAGGACTAAATCGAGGAGCTTAAGTGGGGGACGAGCGCCGACTCCGTATGCAGGAGCTTAAGCATGCAAAAATAAGTATGATACTGCATATGGTGTGTTGGTGTTTTTATGGGGGGAGCAAGGAGGATCGTGGGGACTAATATGAGGCGTTTTATGCCGGGGACGCGCGACCAATCAGCACACGGGAGCTTCGGGGGAGCCGCAATTGCGGTTGTCGCGGAGGACACGGTGCCACTCTCGCAACGACCCCAATAAACATACGATAAACCGGCTTCTCGTGTTGTTCCCATCCGCCCGTGGAATGTTTTTCACCAAGGTGCTTGGGTTGGCGAGGATGATCATGTCCCAAGGCCTTCCCGTGCGGTTGCGAGTGATGGTGCCCGCCGTTGAGAACGCCATCGACGGTGGCGCTTTCCGCCCGGGGGACGTGCTCGTTTCTCGCAGCGGCAAGACGAGCGAGATCGGGAACACGGGTAAGCACTAAGCATAGACTCGTGATTGCCTTTCGAAGCATTTTTGTGGGTCCAACCGCAATGAGACTACTGCCGTCTTTTCAATGGTCAGTCGGGTAGCGCGGTCGATGACAATAATACAGGCACACGCACCCACCGTTGGGAAGATCATCACACCCTCGTACTAGCTTCCGTCCCCCTCTTTTTTGCTTCAGGCGCCACGCCAAACCGTGTTCTTTGATACACGAAGGATGTGATCGCAATCACTCACCCCGCCGTTGTAGTGGACTCCGGCTGGGACGCGTTTTGCTCTGGGCGTGGATGAAACTAGAGGGGTTGGTGTTTACCGCCGGGCTCGCGCCAGCGACCCTACTGCTGTGGATAACGATGAAGAACCCCCTAGGAAGGCCTCTAAAAAATGATTGGGGTTGACCGGACTTTAGTTGGCCAAACCAGTGTGCGTGTTCGATGCTAACCACGAAGACGCGTACAGTTCGTACACACATGGAAAATCATCTCTCCCCCCATCGCGCCTACACTGCCTCTCCCCCCCCCCCTCCCCCTCTTTCTCTCTTGTGTGTGTGTGTGTGTGTGATTCTGTGTGTGTCTGTCCCTCTCTCTCATTCTCTGTTTGCTGTAGACGCTGAGGGCCGGCTGGTGCTTGCGGACGCGCTAGTCGAAGCCTCCTCGGAGATGCCGGACCTGCTCATTGACTGCGCCACGCTTACAGGTAGGTGTTCAGGCGTACCGGCAAGGCACTTCTGCTTTTTGTGTACGCTGTGGCCCTTGATAGGATGGATAAATGCCTCTTGATGTTAGCTTTTTGGGAAGGCAGCGTTAACAAGACAGCAATAGGAGCACGTGGATCGGCTCATCGAGCTGGGGTATCTTGAGTTATGTTGGCGATTGCGTTTCGACAGGCGGCAGTAATACAGCAGCAGCGCCGGAAACTTGTCTGCAAGAGTGTTGGTCGAGCTTGGATCCATCCCGTGTGCTGCGGAGACGGTGTGCAGCTCTACTTCGACCGGCCCCATTTTTTTATGGTGGACAACAGTGTAGTCGATGCTGCTCGGGGATCGTCCACGAAGAATCAATTTGACTTATTTTCGTTTTTTTTTTTTTTCTAACCAGGGGCTGCGCGAGTTGCCCTGGGGACGGACGTGCCCGTCGTTTTCTGCAACGACGAGGAGCTGGCGGCCAAGCTGCACACTCTCAGCGGAAGCGTGTCCGATCAGGTGAAGCCTCTCATCTCGGGGTAGACATTTTCGCGCACAGGGTATCTATGAGCCGTGGGGGTGGCCGCACGTCGCCCGGAAAAGCAATTGCAGTGGCGACGAAAGGCAGGAGGGAACTGATGTCCGGAGAATGCACCCACCGCCAAGCTCTACGAAAGAGGCTTGTGTAGATGCGGTTGCCTTCCTTGCGATGGGTGTTCTCTTCTATCTGGGCGATTCCCCTCTTCGGTCGAAGGCGCTGCCATACGTGGTGTCTCTGTTGTACGTTTAATGACGAGTGTGATGCAACTGCTCTCGCTGTCTTAGACATTCGGTGATGGAACGACTACCCGTTCGAGAAAATACCCCCATTGAAGCGGATCCTCCAAGCCTTTTACAGTGACTGTTGAAACACATCTGCTGGACGTGCTCTCTGCTTTGCTTGATGACTATGGACATGTGTTAACACCTCTTGGTTCATTTTCTTTGTCTTGTTGCACCGCTGTTCTTGCCAGGTCTGGCGCCTTCCTCTGTGGGAGGGTTACCGAAGCCAGCTCTCGTCCAAGATCGCCGACCTCAAGAACGTCGGGGCCGGAGGGTGAGCCACGTGCCGTGCACGAACAAGCTCCCGTCCCCTGTGGTCGATTTCAACGCCCATGTTGTACAATTTTTGAACGTGGGCCGTACTTTACCGCTAAGAAGAAGGTCGGGAAGGTACCGTTACCACGCTTTCGCCAACGCAATAATGGAAAACACCATCCAACGAGAATCGGTGCCTCACAGTTGGAGAGACAGAGACGTTATCAGGCGACAGCGATGCATACAGAATACCCTTGCGGGACGAGTGTTGACGTCCAAAGTCGTTCGGATCCCGGGTCACAGCTTGGATGACCGGCAACTTGGAACACCCGCGGAACAGCAATCACGTGGGGGAGTTGCAAGCGTGATGGATGGCCTGGCTTGAAAAACCAGTTTGGACTGCATTCTGTTTTTGAAGTTGATGCTGACGGGAATCTCCCGTCGTTAGGGGCATTTTGATACAACGCGGGACGGGGCTTGCCACAATTCACACGCTTTTTCGAATCAACTACGTGGGTGGTTTCACCCCGATTCGACACTCGCACTGACTGTGACGGACGACAAGCAGTGCAGCTAACAATCATCAACACGGGGAGGGCAAGACACAGAGGCCACGTTTTTCTTGAAATTTGGTGTATCCTGTCCTTTCGTCGAACCCACTCTCCTCCCAGGTACGGAGGAGCGATCACCGCCGCGCTGTACTTGGACGAGTTTGTGGGCGAAAAGGCTCCCCCCTCCACGGAAGAGGGAGAAGGGCGAAAGAAGGAGAAGCTCCCCTGGATACACATGGACTTCATGGCGTTCAACACCAACTCCAGGCCGGGGAGACCGGAGGGGGGCGAGTCTCAGGGCATGCGAGCCCTGTACGCGCTTCTCGAGGACAAGTACGGGTCGGCGTGAGGACGTCGGGGGGGGGGTGCTGCTAGTAGCACCGCTGTCGACCCCTACTCTAGATTATTCTTTTCTGAGGCCTTTCGGAGGAAGAGGAGTAGGAGGAGAACGTTGCATCGTGACGTCGAGTCCTGCAGTACTCAAGACTGATGGCGTGCTTCAGCAACGATGTAACAGCGGGTCGAAGTTCGGAAGCTGGGTTGAATCTAGACAGGGAGAGATCGAGAAAGAGACAGAGGAGGACATTTTTTTGCCGAGAGTATTCCAAGGCCAATATAGAGGAAACGTTCAGGGATGAAATTAAAAGCGGGGGTCGGCCGTGTACATGCGTGAAAACGTTCTTTCAGCGCTGTCCGCATCATCGATAGATACACTTCGCGAGCAATCCATTTGTCCACGCTGCACGGCGAGACATTTGTTGCCACAAGCGACACAGTCGCCTCCGGTTGGTTTTGCCGCGCGTTCTCTTGGCAATTGTCGCGCAGCAGGTCCGCTTACGACAACGAACCGTTTGTTCCTACAGCGGGAACCCAGCTAAACTGCGGGGGACATGACCTGTTGATGTTCTAACTAACGAACTCTTTTTTTGGTCCACCCCAACACCCACGCCACCCTACTATTAGGGCGTCCGGGTGGACGCATGCATGCATGTTTTCCGTGGGAGAAACACGCCCTGTTTGAGCTCAGCGAACAAGAAACACTCCAGGGGCGAAACGTCCCCCGATGTTCGACTATTTTGTTTTGTTTGGGGTACGCTCCTCCAGACGGACACAGAGAACATCCACGCCCCCCCCCCCCTCTCCCCCCCATTCGAGGGATCCCGGAAATTGGAACCCTCGATTTTTTCGTCTTGGTGACACCGACACCTCCTCTTCGTTGGTAAAATCCCGGTCCTTAGCGCCAGGGTGACAGTTCCATGCAATATACGCTTTACCTCGGAACTCTCGCGCTGAAGCAAGCCTACGGTGTCCGGCCAAATACGACCAACGGCAACGAACAGCAAACACCAACATATAACCAAGTTCGCCGGTGAAGGCTTCGCACTTTCCTGAGGACGCCAAAAGGGGGGACCGCAACAATCGGTGAAACCCGGCACGAAAAGAACCCCCGGGATTGTCAAAAGAGGGAATCGTCCTCTACGGACGTTGAGGAGTTGAGGGGGTCACCTTCACCCCCCCCACAGACACCTGTTGAGCAGACTAGCCTACACTTGCTTGCTAAATAGACAAGGCCCCGTGTAGGCTCGAGGTGGGTGGAGTCGCTATTCCTGTACAATCTTCTGTCCATTTTGGTCCATTTTTCAAGGGTGCGCGACCCTCGCCACACGTCGTCACCAGAAGCTCCACAAGTAAGTTAAAAAACCTGTTGCTTGACCCCACCACAATCTCTTGGTGGGGTTGCAAGGTTTTTAACACACTAAACTGTAGATATCTTCAGCAAAAATTCGCACAACGACGCCAATGTGAAAAGAGAGGACCGTTCTTAATGGACGTTTTCTACATGGGACCCTCTTGGCCCCCTCCATAGCAACGCCAAATCACATACTACCCCCCTGCACCCCCCGAGGTTGAACGCCGGCGCGGTCCGTCGGGCCTCCGAGTGTAAGCCCCACACCAGACATCCCATCAGACTTGGCCTTGCCCACTCCGTTTGCTTCGAAACATCTGTAAACCCCATCTGTAATATCCATCTCAAACAAGGCGACCTCCATCACGCGTCGTCAATTCTCGTCATCAGGCCATACCCGCGGCTGATGCAACTATTCGTCTAGACCCATGAATGGTTTCCCTGGGTGAAAGCAAACCTCTTTCCGCTTGCCCGTCTGCTTTATTCTGGACCGTGACCATCCACCAACCCGCGAGGCGTCCGGCTATGGTGGTGAAGGTCCTATTGTATTCACCATACGGGGGCGTTCGGTAGGCTCATGACTCCTATTCTACGTAGCCTGCCATCTGCAGAGCACCGAAACAAAGTTTCGATGTACGCAAGGTGTCTTCAAAAATGCTATTCAGCGTCGGATCGCCGACTCTCTTGTTCGTCGACCGGCTTAGAGACGGACGCATCGTCATCGGTAGCGGCATCGCGCTTGGATCCGCCGTCGTCTTTTTCTGAGTCTTGCTTGGACTTGTTGTCTTCGTTGTCGGAGGCTTGCTTGTCTTTGTCTTCATCGGCGCCAGACTTGCTGCGCTCGGACGTGCTTCGCGCCTCGCTTTTCTTGTCGTCATCCTCATCCGGCTTTTCTTTGTCTCCCTCGGCGTCAGCAGCAGCATCTCCGGCGGCAGCGTCATCCGATTTCTCCTTGCCTTCGCTGGAAACAGCATCTGCCGCGTCTGGGGTAGAATCTTTCTTTTCTTCGGCCTTATCTTCTTCTTCTGTGCCGCTTGTCGCCTTCCCTTCATCTGGGCCGGCCGATCCAGCGGGCTTGTCTTCTGGCTTTTTTGCGCTTGCAGCGGCAGGCGCACCCTGCTGAGATGCTTCTGCCGCCGGTGGTGCGGTGGTTTGGGCCTCGTTTGGTGGGGCTGCCGCTCCCGCTGTCGGTACTGTTTCAGACGCCTCCGCCGCTTTTCCCGGGGTTTCAGTACCCTGCGGAAGGCATGGAAGGGAGCGTTAGTGCATGTAGGTTTGGTTCTGTAGACGGATGGTACGTCAAACCGTCTCCTTGACGTTGGGGGGGATACCGTTGGTCTCATCCTGTATACTCGAAAGACATAGATAAGTGATAATTTCATTCACGGTCCTCAGGGAGAGGAACCTTTGTGTGTGACCGTGGGTTGGAGAAACGGCACAAGTGCTGTGAGCGCTGATTTGAAGTGCAGACAAGAAAACAAAAAAAAACGCACCTCCTCAACGGCGACGGCGAGCTTGTTGGTCATCTTCAGTTGCTTCGCTTGTTCTCTCTCCTTCATGCGAGGGCTCAAGAAACCGGCCGTTGCCATGTATCTGCAAAGAGAAACAAGAGAAACATGAAATATTTTGTTCGCCGCATTGTAGCGAAGTTTCAATGGCAACGCTTCGCCGCATCGTGGGGAAGTTTCAATGGCACCACTCCTCGGTGGGGAGAGAGAACGCACACACTCCATTCCTCCTGTCGTGAAGCACACGGTCTAACGTTAACTTCCAGATGACGACGTGCGTGTAACTTTCAGTTTTGTCGCGGACGAGAAGCATCCGAAGAGCACACGGTCTCTCTCGCGTGTAGGATAAAAACTGTATCCTTGATTGCCTGCCATTGCCCCTCGTTGCGGTGGTAAAAACGTTTAACGGTACCGCTCGCCCAACGGGCAAGCCTCGCAACTCGTTCAGGGATGACACACCTACCACGACGTGAGCACACAGAAGACATGGTGCGGTTTCGCGAAAGACAAAAAAAAACACTCGGTTTCGCGAAAGGCAAGAAGACACTCTGTCTGGTACCTGGTGGCTACTCCAGCGTGGTCGCTCTCTTCCATGACGTAGTTGTATTGCCCGATCTCGGCGATGACCTGCCACGTTTGCCGAGGCACCCCGGATTTGTACTTGACGCCCCTGGGACCCGGACCATCTTCGAGACAAATCCACTTGGCGACTTTCTGCCCGATCACAAACGGAAGCGGGGGGTTGGGGGGGCACATGTGAGGAGGGTTGGGGATGGCGAGTGCCGCCGTGAAGTGCCGCAATCTGGCGACGCGGTTACTCGCGGTACAATATGCTTATAGTGCTTCATGGTTTTATTGCTGCAACGATAATTGCATGGAACATACCGTGTTCTTGAAATGTAGGGAATTGCACTTTCAGTGCTCTTGGAAGCGTTGATACGAATATATTCATGAGGTGTGTTGGTCCGTATTACCGTAGGATACATGCATACCCTCTCCCTTTCCGCCGATTGCGTTGTTCGGCCTTCGGCGAAAAATTTTGTTGTTCTTGGGATACCATGTGCTGCTGTGTGACCAAATACTATTATTACTTTGCCGTTTTGCTCGCTCTCCACCCAGCCCATCTGCAGCTCGTCCGCGTCAATCTTCTCGCCCTCCCCCAGCACCCGGAAGAACTCGGCCGTGTACCCTGCAACATTGCGTGTCGGCATCGTGTTTGGCGTTACGAACTACATATAATAGCATGCATGGGATTATGGGATTGAATAAATCATATGACGGGCGCACACGGATGTCCGCGCCGGCTTCTCATGCCTTTTCAACCAACAGTATGAAATCGTTTTTGTCCACCCCTCGCGAAAATGTAAATGGGTGGCTTCTCCACTCGTACTCCGACACGATTCACACACAAAAAGCGTGCTCAAGTCGATTCGAAGGAGTTCGGGGTAAGGGATGACGTTGTGATGCTACTCCGGTGATGAAATTAATAACAAGAGACACTTGTCAGGCAGCCCTCTCCTCACGCCTCCGCTAGCGGCAACATTAGATGCGAATGTTGAACAGGCCAGGCCTTAGTCGCGAGCGCGTATATCAAGAACGACTGCACGGTAGTGAAAATAATGCTCGAGAGTTGCCCGAAAGCCAACAAGGGGGGGGGGGGAGTGCCGGTTGGCATGGGATTCTCTCGACAGGGCAACACGAGAGAATCGACCTTCTGTTCAAAACCGGGGCTTTAGCAGATTAGGAAGCATTTCATCCGCCGAAACGCCTCTCTACAGTACAACGGCCGCTCTACCCTCGGACCGGTGAAGGGCAATCGCGCCGAAAAAGGGTACGACTTCATCAGCCGTGCCGTCGCACGAACTCCCCTCAACTTTGTATAACAAGAGAGACACAAGTAGACAATCAAGTTACGCACTCCCGAAGTCCGTGTTTCTGATATACACTAACAACCATGTACCCCTGATCTATTCGCGGAGAAGCTGCGAGTGGGAGAAACACCCTTACTGCGGCGCATGCCAGACGCAAGCGGCAGCATGAATCTTGCCTGGCTGTTGTTGCTGTTCGTCCGCGATGCTCTTTGGAGTTTTCTTGCACATCCAGCCAAAGAGGGAGTTCAGCAAGAGCTGTGTTTTAATCGGGTACGTTAAAACGAGGGCAAGAGTAAGTATTCCGTCTCGCGAAGGTAGGAATAGCCAGGGAACACACAAGGGCGCGCGTGGTGATGGCCTTGTTATGTCTGAGAGTTCGCCGTAGTTTGTCGTATGTTGAATTCGTCGCCTTCTGGACAAAGCAGAAAAAAGGTGGCAGTCAGCGTTTCGATTATCTCAGTCGCGCTCGCCCGTCATATCACGGCGAAAAACAATGTCGTCGACAAGGTTAGATTTTCATGCCGGCAGATTGCAACTCGCCACAGACACCAACCTTCGGCCACGTCTAGCAAGTAATCCCGCTACCAACGAGCGGCCCCATCCCAGCGCGTGTTGGTGGCTGTTTTCACGGGAAGCCTGTCTGGATATTAGGACTCTTGAGCCTGAACCACTGATACCGCTATACGTACCTCAGAAGCGCATCTAGAACACAAATTGACATCAACTGAAATGGAGCCTCTTAGCAGAAGGATGGGTTTACTTTTTGCTTGAATGGATAAACGTAAGCATCTCGATACAGGCGGTACTCACCCATCCTGGTAACGGCTGAGCAGTCTGTGGATCCATGACCCCCCTATTGGTTGTCCGTATCAAGAGGGCAATAGACATGCACCAAAGTCCAGACATATTCCAATATAAACATCCTGTACGTTGCTCACAACTTCACAGTCTCCACCGCTTTTCAACTCAACTCCTCTCTCGCGTGTCACAACGACCTCAATATCGCGCAGCGTATTCGATCCTCCCCGCCCCCTCCCCCCCTGGCGCACTCGCCTTCACAATCTGCAATAGCGGGTCGCCCACGATCTTGTAGGCCACGTACAGCGCGATGAACAAGGCCGTCAGGACGAAGAGGGGGAAGACGTGCTTGCGCAGCACGTGGTCTGCCACCAGACCGGACATGCCCTGGCCGTCCAGCGCCTCTGCGATGGTCTGGGCTTCATCGCTGTAACAATATAGGACGTCATTTTTGTAGTATGGCCGGAGACAAGGGGTTGTTCAGGGTCGGCCATGGACCAACAGGGTGATGTCCGTGCATCTCAGTCGAGGCGGACGGAGCACGGGGTGGCGAGGAGGGGAACGGGGGAGGGGGTGTGCGGTGTTCTAGCAGGCAGGGGGATGTGGAAAACGTCGCAGAACGGGGTCTAGAATCGAGGGCATCCCTTTGCCCTCGTCTTCCTCGCTTATCAGATGTGTTCTTCATTCTGGCGATGACGGGATAGAGAGGGGAGGCTGAGGGCGGCTCTCGTTTTTATTAGGCAAGGCCGTTCGACTGCCGGGTGAGAGGGGGCGAGGGGCGGAGGATGAGGCATCCCGTGCACTACATGACACCACCGAAAGCGCTTGCTAGTTTGGTCCGGTTGAGGAGTGTGCATTGAGAGGGATGCATCTTTGTGCAATGCTGTGCACCCGACGGACCAAAGCTCGATCACATTTCCCCCGGCATACTATAACAGTGGCGTGTCGAACCTAGTCGCACATGACTGCGCTGCCTAGGTAGGACACGGGCGCCCACCTGCCAGATTTAGCTTGTCGTACGTTTATTACACCGGCCTACGCGCTTCTACTAGAAACATGGACAAAAAAGTGGCGGAAATAACGAGCTTCGTATGGTCTCGTTTGCCCTCATTCTGTGGGGGACGTCGTGATTCACCCACTCACGCAACACGCGCCAGTACAGAAACTTGCCTGACAAACCCAATGTTCAGAATGTCGACGTTCCCGAGCATGTAGCACGCCGTCGACATGTGCACGAGCAGCGCGATCGGGAGCACTCCTACGAACATCTTCGCCAGCGCCGCCGTGTACATTGGAGGCTGTTGTGCAAGCTTGATGATCCAAAACTTCGAGAAAGTGTGTGCGTGTGCGTGTTTTTTTCGTTGTGTGTGGTAGTGCACGAAGCCGGTGCACGCAGGGGAGAAGGCGAGCAGAACGAACGAACACAGGGTAGGTTTGGGCGATAGAGTGAGACGCACGGCCTACAATTTGTGCGCTTGCCTATTGGCTTGATGATTCAGACCTTGTGCTGCAACAGGAACGTGGCACAGATAAGGAAGTTTCAGCGTTTTTCCCCTCTTCGGTTATATGCTCGGTAGACGAGGTTGGAAACCTGTTACAGTGCTTGGTGGGAGTCAATTGTTTTGGCATGGTTGGGATGATACCGTCGAACGTAAATCGATTAAGCGCTTCAAGTACCGTTGCCAAATTCTTCTCTGAGGAGCCCTCGCTAGAACAACGCACGGGGGAAAGTGGATCAAAGCCGCTGTGTTCTCAACCAGGCGGCTGCTCGAACCGGCTGCCGACAACAGTTGAGAGCAAGTGGGCTACATTCGGCACCATGATCAAGATAGTACACCCTACTTGGACATGCGTAGTGTAACGTCCACAACTTGCTTCTTTCTTAGAGGTTGGTTTCTTAGAGGTTGGACACTCATGTCATAACAGAAAAAAACATTTTCTGATGACTGACTTGTTTTCGCGGCAACGCCGGCCCGTCTGCACGACACCATACCTTATCGACGACGAAGTTCGTGGCGAAGCTGAAGGATGCGAAAAGGTAAAGAATGGGAATCCCTCCAGAGTAGAGAAGCGACACTCCCAAAACCTGAGGGACGTACGCCACCGCGTTTGAGTCCGTCGCAATATAGAAGTAAGTGTGAGTCGTGACGCGCACTAGCGTACTCTGCTGGAGTTATGCACGTCGTGAATGCGGATGTCCTGGCGTGATGTTTCAGGATGACGCCTTTTGACTATTTCTTGCATCAAGTGGCGGTAAAACAACATTTTTCAAAGGGAAGTGTAGTCACACGGGATTGAAGGAGACCGAATCAATCTATGGAGGCAGTTCAGACAATAATTTGTCTGCAAACCTTCGTGCGCACTAACCTCAACCCTAACCATAGCCCTTTACCCCAAGATCCGTTCGTCAACTCGTTATTTTCTTCACCAACAGGCTGGCAAAAACTGTTCTGTGCACCCCCCCGAGCTTTCGATGCAATGATTGACCTTCCCGACAAAGCCTCTCATTTTACGCCAAAAAGCAAACAAACATGCCTGAAGCAAGAAGGCGTAGCGCGACTCCATGTCGAACTTGGGAGGCTTGTACAGGCTGTTCATCTGCGCCTGCGTCGCTACCGATCGCCGCTTGAACAACCGCTTGACCGGGTTCACGATTATTTCCCTGGTCAGGGTCCGTGGGGTGGTGCACATGGGACGTGGGATGAAAGTATCCGGGCAAGTGTCAGGGCGGTTAACATTGGAATCAGGTGAGTCGTTGTAAAGGCGATGTGAGGCACGACAACTCTGTGGTTGAGTACGACGGCCTTCGCCATTGCTGTTTTGTACTCACGTTGCGTTGTGCCTAACCGCTGATTTTTTTTTCCAGATGCTTGGGAGGAGCATACATTTATTTTCGTGTTTTTATCATTCCGCAAACCTCAAGGCCAAAAGAGCGCGAAGAAAATGCCGGTGTACACCATCGGTCAACTTCCAAGTCTCGATGCACATTCGTGCACAGACCACCCAAGCAATTAACGGTTAACAAAAATTCCCCTACAGTCAATCGTGCGTGACTTGGAACAAGCGTGGAGCGGGTGCATATACCCCGAACGCAACATGTAGACGATCAACGTTGCTGGGATATCAATAGCGGATGCTAATCAATCGAGTTTGTATAAAAGTTGTTTGTAGCGCGCTGAAAGGCACGACCGATAAAAATAGATGTGAGTGCCGTGCTTGATATTTGTCGCCCTCTGCTCGTGCTGGACTCACCCCACCAAGGTCGTGGCGTGAGGCACGACGACGTTGATGAGCATCGTCATCGCGACTGCCACGCCCACGGTGGCGTACCAGCTCCTCTCGAAGTCGTTGTACTCACCCGCTAGCACGCCCAAGTCCTGCGAGAAATGAGATTCGATGACAGACATCGTCTCCGCAATTATTGGCGGCCAAACGCGCCACCCGCTTCGAGGTAGCGCTCGTTTTGCACACAAGAAACGTTTAGTATCGGCGTTTGGGGGTGGTCAAGTGTTCTTGCCTCTTCTTCTGCCTTGCTGCTAAAAACACGTCATCATGGTGGTACTTCTGACAGAGAATGCCGTCACAACAGGTTCGTCCAGGCACACACACGACCGGAACGAGACAACTGCAAAACAAAACAAACCTGCAGGAAGCCAAGGCCACCGCCGGTGTAGCCGGCGTTGACGATGATGACGATGAGCGCGGTGTTGAGGAACTGGGCTAGGGCCAGCTTGGCCGTAACCGTAGAGGTGAAGTCGGACAGCGACACGTGCCGCTCGAACTTGGCCAGCTTGCCCATGACGCTCGTGAGCAGGGTGTTGACGATCACCACCGACATCACCTTATCGAAGAAAAGGCGGAGATCGTGTTTCGTAAATGAAACGTAGATCGGTTGGTTTTGACACAACATGGGAGCACTGTACCTCGCGATGAGCCGAAATATGTTGACCGCACAATAGTCAGGGTTGATTCTACAGATACATCGGAACGGACGTCTGTGGATCGATACGGGAATATGCTTCGAGCACACGGGAGAACGATATTTTTGGGCCAGATGGCGAGCCCACTGGAGATGAGTCGTGAAGCAGCCACCGTCTACCGTGAGGACCGCCGCCAGCCTCAACTCACCGCAAGAATCTTGATGGCGTTGGCCTTAGCGTAGTCCCTCAGGAAGGGTGCGCAGACCTCTCCCTGCTCCCTCGCCACCACCTTGGCCCCGTCCACGAGGCCATGCTCCTGGAAGCTGGTCACGACCGCATCCAGGCAGAAGCAGCCGATCATGGTGGATTGCGGGTAGCTCACGCAGCCGTAGTCCACCTCCCAGCTATCCTGCTCGTCATTGGCGTAGCGACACCGGAAAGGTTCAAAAGGTTCCAGCTTAAATTTCAATGCAGCAGCAGCAGCCAACGGAGATGGCTGTAGACGACACGTGGCCATGAGCTGCCCCCTAGAATAGGGAACAGCGTCGAAAACAGAAATTACTATCTATGTTCCATTCAATTCGATTTCTTACTCTCACAACAAGGAGCCGATAAGGTGGCGGGCGGACTGGGGGACGGAACGCAGTCGTAGTCTACCTCTCAGCTTTTCTTGGTAATGGTGACGAACAGGACAGGCCAAGTCCGACATCGAAGCTGTCCAATTTTTCTCTTGGAAGCGACGGCCGATCTCTAAGTGGATCGCAGCAGTCACTTTGTGCTCCAGACAGTTTCCTTTCGCCCATTCAACAATGATCAAGAGCGTAGTCGACAACATCAGGGTGCGGCTACTTAGATGCACTGTGTTGGGAGATGGCTGCGCACTTAACACGTTTGGTCGTATGAGTTGGTCGATCAGCAGATGTGGTGGGTACATGTCACACCTCTGCCCCCACCCACGCAATCTAGGAAGTCGGTGGTACCTCGGACGGCAGTCTGAGCGAATGAGGGGAAGTAGCTCCTATCGCCGCATGAACCCCCGTTTCGTGCATAAAAACAATCCCCGCTTCTGCCACATCTCACAAGGCCTCACCAGCGCCTAGCCTTGACCCAGCAACCGATGTCGGGGAGAGCACTACGTGCCTCGAATGCTGCGGGTATATTCGAAACGACGATATGAGTGTCTCATATGGGGTTCAATCAACCCTACCTAGCGCGAACGACAGTCAGACCGCCTCAACCAAAAAAATAAACGCGTTTGCCCCCCCCCCGCCAGCTCAAACCCCGTAACTCCTACTTCGTACCTCGTAACACGACAGGGCGCGGCAGGTGCTGCCGCCGCTCGCCGGCTGGCATGGGTCGTCGCACAGCTGGTCCGCGTCGTTGGCCGCCACGAACGAGGCGCGGGACACGTTGGTCCCGTCGGCGGAGAAGATGGGGGGCAGGTTGTCGTAATCCAGTTGGCTCGAGTCCGGGTCGGTGGCGTTGGCGGCGAAGGCGAGGTAAAAGCTGCCGTCCGCGCAGGAGCTGTCCATGGAGTCGTCTCTCTGGTTTTGCCACGCGGGCATGGTGTTTTTTTGTGCGGGTCGTTCGGTGGTGTTGTGTGTGGGGTGCGGTGTGTTGCTTGTGTTGGAGCTTTTGTGTCGTCTCCAGCTACATGTAGTTCCCGGTGTATGCGGTGCTGTGTTCGAATTAGAACTGCGGTGCTGTGTTCGAATTAGAACTGGATACGTCAGGAAACGAATATGAACGGGATGCGGCGACGAACGCGCTGACTGTCCGTTGACTGATACGTTACATGTAACCGTTCTGTTTGTGCGTGGATTTCGACGAGACACCGGGGAGCAACGTCGTTGACTCCGACCGAAAGTGGCCTCTCAACTCGAGAGCATACAAGGTCTCCTCGGCCGTGTTTCTCTATTGACTCCAGGCAAATCCAGGACGGTCTCACTGCAACGAGCGTGGGATGGTTCGGATCACGATGAAGAAGTGCCATAGATCGATCAATGGATAGCGGTTTTACGCAAGGTACACGTGTCTCGACGTTTTTCTCGGTGCGTCTGATCTGACTTGCGGCCAACGAGAAGTCAGCTGCTCCAGGCGATAGCTGCGAGGCGGACGCACACAATCAGCGGTGACGTGGCTGGACGCTTCCGATGGATTGACGCAAGAACATGAGACAAGAGCAACAGCAGTAACGGCAGCAACGGCGACATCTGATTCGCTCACCTGCAACGCGGCGTCCAGAGGGAAGTCGTACGTTCCGAAAACGACGGCAGGAATCGTCTCCTCGCAGGTATCCAACGCCGGGATTTGCTCCTGAAGTTTTGCCTGTTGTACGACACGCACGCAATGACATAGACAACAATTCTTTGGCTACGATAGCTACAAGATCGACTTGGACATTGTGCTCTTCCGGTGTATCGTGTATGAAGCAGCATTTTGTCTGCGTGCATTGAAGCACAGGCATATGGAAATCGTACCATTTGAAGCCGTGAATAATGAAAAGCCGCATGAACCTCGGTAAGAACAAAAAACACGAGTCGCATTCCCCGTGTTCACAAGCAACACTTGCAATGCCTTGAGCTAATCTACCCAGCAAAAAACAACAAACGCCTTCCACCGGAAAAGATACAGTTCGGAACAGCAAAAGTTTCGGACGAAAAACGGTTCACCGGCTTGGCCGGGGATAGAACGAATTGCTGCACAAGAACCCACGCTTTCCCCGTTCCGCACTAGTCGGTCCCGCAACCATATTCTCTCTTACGGCTATCCTGCCATGATGTAGGATCGATCCCTTACCGCACCTGCTCCGTCTGGGCGAGGTAGATGATGGCGAAGCTGAGGATGAGCAGCACGACGCACACCAGCGAAGTGACGGCCCTCCTCAACTTGCGAGACGTCGGAGTTACGTCCAGGTTTTCCCACTTCACGTCGCTGGGTTCCGGGGCCTGGATTTAATTCCAATTCATGAGGAAGCGTGGGGCTTCTCAGACACAGCTACGAAGTATTGATCCACTTCAGATCACCCCACAGGTGGGTTTGTTACAGGTGTCATCGAAGTTCTCCGGGTCGATATTCTGTGGGATTGCCGTCTGAGCAAAGGAACGCTGCGGAGTGGGCTCGGGGGGAGGGGGTGTACTCAAAGGCGTGCATGCCATAGTCGTTAGACCATTGACCTCGCATCGCCACAAAGCAGGCACGGAGCACGCCAGGTTCTCACCAAGCGCGAAACGGCGCGAGGTATTCGGCGAGTCGCATGGAGGGTGCGCTGCATTCTGGTAAGCGCTGCATTCTGGTAAGGGTGTCCGACGTCTTGTGGTTACTTCCTTGCGCACGGATGGCAGCCGCGAGTGGATTAAATTCTTTTCTGGTGTTTACAATTCCAGAGACAGTTATAGGCACTGTTACGAGGTGCTTGGCCAATTCTACACAACGTGGTGCGATTATCCCCTTTGCACGGAGTGAGGGTTCTCGACCCCGCACAACATAGTCTACTCGCATTTTGGTCACCTGGTTGTCGAGCTCACGAAGCGATCGGCTTGTTTTACAACGTCATTGCCAAGCGACGAAAACCCAACTCCGATGGCAAACACCGGGGGGGGGTTGTGTACAGACCTATGCCACAATGAAAGGGAAGCAAATAACGGACTCTGTGCTTCCCCGTTCCTTTCTCCGTTGGGACCATCCGCAGCCGCCACTTACCACACACACACTCGTTCCCTCACCCGCCCGTACAATACCCCATACACTCGATATCGGCGTTTAGTTTAACTACGCTTCACCTGGAAGACCTTGAGACGCCACCTCTGCGGACGCGGTTTCTTCTTTCTTCCCCGGCGGGCAGGCGGCGTTTGGCCATCCTGCTGCTGTTCCTCCTCGTCGGCCGGCTTGCGGGAGAGCTGGAGCTTCACTGGTTGAAACCGCCTGGGAGCCAGAGGAAGCGGAGTGGGAAAGTGAGTAGCAGAGCGAATCATTGGAAACAGCGATAGGTCAGTAGCTGTTTTCGGTCGGTTGAAAAAGCCTTGGAAACATCCCCCCGAGGAGTTTTGGAAGAGGGACATCACCTCTATTTCGGGCCGCTCGGGATTGTGGCCGGTGGATAGGAGGGGGTTCCTGCGGGATACACCGCATGCTTCCCCCGCGTGCATACCTGCAGAAGCCCCTTCGGCTGTAGCGGTAGTCCTCCAGGCATCTCCTCTTGCTCTCCTCGTGCTCGAAGGTCACGAAGGCCACCGAGATTGACTCTAACGCTGCGGGATCTTGCTTTTTCCGGGTCGCCGCCATCAGGGCCTCCTGCGCTCGAAGGAGAGCGGGAGTTTTTTCAAGACAGAAAGATCGAGAGAGGCGGAAACGAGAGGAGGGGACAGCAGCCTGCGGGGCTTTGCTGCAAGCGGGAGTGCACGTACGCCCTCTTGGCGACGTGATCAAAGCTATTCGCCTTTCCTCTAGCCGAGAGGTTTGCCAGCGATTGTTGTTCGCCAGGTCGATCTAAGGTCATTTTTTGCCCATGCAGACATGCGTTCGCTGTTCGCTGGTTGTGTCCCAGCCCCCGTTGTACCCGTCTTGGAGCCTTGCACAATGCTAGTTTCGGCTCGCTAATTTTCCCCAACACCAATCCCTTCATCGCCGCAGCTTAGGTTTGTCGGTTAAGTATCACCACCACGAGGATCGGTGCTATTATCGCCTTTGTCACCTCACCTGGCTGACGGTCAGCTTTACCATATGCTCACGGCTACTTTCTTTCATAATTTCCATTTCTAGCCTGCTTTCCTGGCCAATTCTGTCCCATATATCACCATACACTTCTCTCTCTCCACTTTCTCGGTGGATCATGCACCTCCAACACCATCGCGCCTCGTTCCCAAACAGCTTTCCACTTGTCCTACAAAAAAACAAAATAGTACCTTCATTACTAAATGTAAATTATAACCCTGTACAAATATTTTTCTTGTTCCTCTCCCCCTTCGCGTACGTGCCTCTTTCGCCTTGAGCTTCGCGAGCTTCGCCTCCGCCTTGGCGAGCTTCTTGGCCTTCCCCAGCGTCTTCATCTGCCGCACGACCGTCCGGGCCTTGCTGATCTCGGCTAATGCTTCCTGAGGGAGAGGGTCGTATCGGCCGTTACCGCAGCGTGTCAGCGCCAAGCAAGTACCACACGTTCTGGCCTGAATGAAAATACCTGGCTGAGGGCATACGGTATCGATGCCCGCCCTTGCCGACACGTGACTTGTACGCGTGTTGCGTGCTTTTTCGTTTCGAAAACTTGGCCCTTCTTGATTGTTGTTTTCGCTTGAGGTTGTTGCTGTGAGCTTGACGTGACGACCTCTTTTCGGCTCGGCGCTGCTTTTCAAGGCGCTTCCGCTGATACTCTCTTCAGAATCAATGCATTCAATGATCCACCTACCATAAACAAACAACGATGCTACTACAAATAGCACCCTGAACAGTTTGTTCACTTTGGACATGCAGACGGCCGCCCAACGAGACTGACCACACCACCCGTGCCACCTACCTGCACCTAGCACAAAAACGCTGCGAGAGTTACGCGGTGCCATATCGGCAACGAGCGGGTACAGAGAGACGTGCCAACTGAGTGGCATGCACAGAAACCAAAACATGATGGATTACCTCTTGGTCCATGAAGCCCATGAGAACATCCCCTACGGGGTTACCCAGCACGACGTCGGCGACCCAGCCGCCTACGAAAGACTTGTCGTGGGTGTTTAGGCAGCTCTGGCAGGGCAGAGGGTCCGGTAGTCGCTCGTCGGGGAAGCCCCTGAGCACGTGTGTGTATCGTTCGGTCGACAACAACCAAGCACAAATAGAGGAGTGTCTGCGTTTAGAGACAATGCCTTGATTAGAGTGAAAGTTCTCCTTCCAAATGCAAGCGATTTACACAATGAATGCAAATATCATTTTCACGAACCTACTCCTAGGTGCGCGGAATCTCATTGCGCTCGTTCTCTTCTTGGATCGGTGGGTCGTTGGGCTGCTTTGATCCTTATCACAGCAACACTATCGCTTATTGACGCTCAGAACCCTCCCCGAGCGGAGCTGTGTTTGCATTCGTTTCACATTTCGTTGAGAAAGAGAGAAGAACGTCGAACCTTACGTACTGCGGTGCCAGCGTGTCTGCGAAGTCACCGTTCACCACATTTCGTCTAACATCCGAGCGTGCTCCGTCCTCCTTACCGTTTTGGCGGGTCTTCGGGCGGCTTCGCGTCCTGCGCAGGGGAAACACCTGGCACGTCCAACGGCGGGGTCAACCCCCCCGCCTCGCCACCTCCCCCTCCCCCCACCCCCTCCTCCAACCTCGACATCTCCCCCGCACTCCCATCCGCCGCCACCGCCGCGGCCGCCGCCGCCGTGCCATCAAACTCCTTGGCGATGACACCATCACCACCGGCTGCGCCGGTGGCGGCGGGGGCAGCATCGGGAGCAGTCTCTACGGGAATGACCTTTCCCGGAGCGGCTGAGTACTTGGATGACGAGGCGGCCGCCTTTATCTTATTCTTCTCCCGCTGCTTCCTGTTGTTGGAGAGGTAGGGCACGACGCAACGGCGGCCGAAAGATTGTCGGCGGGTCGGTGATCGAGGGGTGTACTTCTAGTACGGAACCGCCACATCCAGGGCAGAAAGTTGAGAACAACTGAGTGGTTCCTACAGGATGTCCCTTACCAAAGCAAGAATATTGCCCCTACCCTCCCCTTCCCCTGCCCAAACCCGGGGTGCACATGTTGTCGTCAAGCCGATGACCCAGTATTCTAACTGTGTGTCAAAACAATTCTCCCGAGTAAGGCAACATTTGGTGTTCGATTTGCCGTTCGCTGCTAGTCGTCCGCGTCCAGGAGCAACCGAACCATTGATCGATATTTCCGTGTGCCTTGGTCGCTGGCGTCCCGTCTGTCTGTGCCCCTTTTCTCTCATCCCCTCTTCCCTGCTCATCTCCGTGGCCTCTCGCACCCACCTCCCCTTTTCCCATTCCTGCAGAGGCGTGTCCCTCTTTCTCGGTCGCCCAATGCCGCACCCTTCCACGATCGCGTACACGGACAGCACGCAGAGGAGCACGGTGCACACGCCCATTCCAAAGGCGGAGGCTCCGGTCCCCAGTTCCGCGTACTCGACTACCGAGGGGGCCACCTGCGGTTCGTCGGTTCGTTCAACGAGAGTCAACAAATTATCCCTCTTACTGGTGGCCAGACTGCCGCGAAATACGCTTTGTTTGGTGGATGCACATGTGGGGCATGCTTGCTTCGGGCACGTTGTTTCCCGTCTGTTGGAAAGAAAGCAGTGCGTTTGCCCGTATTGTTGGTGCCGCAAGGATTTCCTCTCTTTGGGACGGCAGGTGTATTTTCTCTAACCAAGGATCCGGGTGGTCGGGGAAACGGATGCCAAAAATACGAGCATTTCACATCATGTTGGTGACAGGCAAGCCGCTGCTCTGACCTCTGTGCAGCATCTCCAGAATACCCATAGATAACCTATCCATGGTTACGGAGTGCCACAAAGAAAGTCACTGCAAGGAGACAAACAATCTCTACGAGATGAACCCCGTTCGACTATTGAAATCCTCAACGTGCGCACCAGCAGGCCGAACAATAAACCCAAGGTAGATCCCCAGAACAAGCCAACCCCGGTTGTGGAGACCCCCAGAAACGGGTAGCTCGGACTCGGCGTCACCAAGGAGTATAGGTCGGAGAAGTGCTGGCGGACCTTGGAGGGAAGACAATGGGTACGGGAAGGGGGGTACACGGTAGTTTGCGTGTACCAATGGTGTGCGTGTGCAACAAGATATCATCAAACATTACGATGCTCGACTGCGGCACCTCGGGACAGGGGTTGACGCGATGCACTCAGTTCGTCATGCACTATCCGGTGGCTGGGGGCAAGACAAGGAATGGAGGATGCTTAGTTCTGACCCGACGATTGTTCAGAGACAATTTTATGGGTACATCGACGTGTAGGCTGCATGCAGGACCTGGCGGAGGACCATACAGATTGAAAGGCCAGGAAAAACCGCAGCAACGCACAGAAGCACGCATGCCGTAGCCCCATTGGACAGATGGTCAGCGCTCGGTTCTTCTACAATGGCTTCACCGAGACTGCGCAAGCCTAACAAACAAGAACGTTACGCTCTTTCGAGACTGCCAGTTTCGTTCGTGGTTGTACGACACTCACCTCTTCCTTGGTGACGTCAGCGGGAAGCCCTCGCACCATGACCGTGTAGTCCCCGGGCGTGACGTTCGCGTCGTCGATCTCGTCGATTTTTGCCTTTGATCGTTGATGAAGTGAAAAGAACGTGGCATGTGTACCATTTGGGCGTTCTTGTCACGCGAACGAAACTGAGAGTTACACGGACGTCCTATTTTTTCCGTCTAAAAATCGAAACAGATTGCGCCTGTACCTGTCAGACAGTTTTTCGTCTGTGCATGATTTCGAATCGCACACGTTTATTTGTATGCTTGCCCTGACCAAACAGGTGTGGAAGTTGCATAGTCTCGATATTCGACCTTGACTAACAAAAACAACAATATGTGCTAGTTGGTATGCATGGGGCGATGCTGGAGGAAAATGGTGCAATTTGCGGGAATCGAGGTGTTCACTGCCGGGAGCAACGTGTTTCGTTATCAAGTGTGTCATCGGTGCTTTGCGACTCAAGACCAACTTCTTTCTTCAATACAGACAGGCTATTTTCCCTCAAGACACGGTCTCGATTCTAGTTCGGTCAAAGAACACCACGTGGTCACCTTCACACGGGGGACAGTTTTGCTTTTACTCCGGACCTGTAGTTCCCATTCGAGTGCTCGTATGCGTATGCTAGGAAAGACAAGAATGGCACTAAACAGTTCGTTTCGAGGTTTATCATCTGCGTTCGGAGCCTACTCGGAACGTGCGTACCTTTAGTCTCTCGGACAAGATCACAATAAAGAATACGAAAAAAATGGCGATCAAGATCTCGCCCCCGACCAGGATGGAACCGACCCACAGCACGTCCTTCGCTTCCCCCATAACCTGCAATTAGGGTACGGGGGATCGGGCAGGGAGAAGGAAGGCAAGGCCGAGGGGGAGAGGTGCATGGAGGGAACGGTTGGGTGCATCTAATTGGGGACGATGTATTCACTATTTGCTCTCCCTTTTGCAACTGTGTCCAGCGGGTAGAGAATAAGTTAAAAAGCTCACAGAAAAACCTTTTTTTACGCAAGCGGTTGCTTGCCGTCATGATGGTGACCAACGAGAAACCGAGAGCAACGCTAGCAGTCTGCGGTGGGTAGGCAAGCTCCTCAAAACGTCGTTTGGCCAGTTGCGGGCAAGGAGATGAATACGGCGTCCCAACGTGAACCCTGATAAAACGGTTAAACTTCGTCTCTTCGTGCCTTGCCACAAACGACTGCTTGCCAATCAACCAGGTCAGGGCCTTGGAAGAAGAGAACCAAAATTCAGGTCATCCCATTGCTTACAGTGAAAGACAAGAAGCCGACTTCCTGAGTTAAAATGGTACTATAAACGACAAACTGGAGAAAAGGTCGAGCAGTCACACCGGCTCGCAGCTAAGCAGCCGCCTGTTCCATGAAGTCTCTCCACACACGCAAGGTACTCTACTCATACCTTGACGGTTTCCCCGGTGCAATCGACGGTGCCGTTGCTCGAGATGCACCCGCTTTCCACCACGAGGTCGGGGTTCAGCCCCTGGTTGCCGAAGCTTAGCGCCACCAGACCGAGAGAGTCCACATCGGTCTCCGATATCGCCATTCCCGCGTTGCCCTGAGCGTTGGTACGGAGGCAGCCAGAGGTATGTACGGCTAATCACAACAAACTGCAGAAATATCTAGATTGCTTGGTGATGGACCACCTGGTGTGCTGACAGCATCCCGAAAGATGCAAGGACTACCATTTTCCTGTCGATCGATACACTGCTGAATACAAATATTTCCTCTTTAAAAGGTGGGTGGGCATCCGACCTCCACTCCCCCTGTCCCAACTCCACCGTGCCTTTAGCAATCTGTTGTGGACGTGGGCACGAGCGGGGTGTTCGCCTCGTCTCACCTCGTGGTTGAGGACCATCGCCGGGATTGAAAGGAATGCACAGATGCAGAACATGATGGCAACAATCCGCACCATCCAGAAGTAGAGGTACATGCCTACGCCCATGGAACCGATCTCCTTGATGCTGGTGCTGAAGTAGTACCTCATTCCGTTGTTCCAGATCATCCTCTAAGGTCGTTGTTGTGGCATCGTTGGGTGGGAGTACAGGCCAAAAGCGATCAAACGACAGAGACATACTTTGTGTAGAAATATACTATCTCATGTGGTGTTTCACCCCTACTACTGTAGTTTCAGAGGGCAATCAGCTGTGCTTCCCCCCCACCAATAGACAACTTGTCAGAACAAGTTACATGCGAGTATTTGTTCCAACTACCGTTTACTGTACATGGTGCGAGCTGCAGAGAATGTACTTCGACCAACAGCACACACGTGCAGTAACAAGGATACCTGCGAGGATGTGGCGAGCTTTTTGTTAGGCTACCACCATAGTTGAAGAGTGCGCTCGCCGCAGGTCAATAATCGAAGGCCAGTTCAATCAACTGGACTTGGTTTCAGCTGGCCGTCGTATTAGTGCCGTTCGGCCAGGTACACCAAGTGCACCAACTCACCTTTCCCGCTCTCTTGGCGCGTTCAGTCGATGGTTTCTCCCAGGGTTTATCTAGATCCACCTCCATCTCGTCAATATCCTCCTCGACACAGCTGCTCTCTTTGGACGCGATATCGGACGCAGGCCCGCCATCGACGTTCTTCTCGCCATTGGCAGTTGCGACATCGATGGCAAGAGCACCTCCTGAACAAGGCCAGGGGTAACGGATACGCTGACATTTACTTTAGACGTTCGCCAGGTGCTTCGCAACCGTGCGAATGGCGCCGGTCCCTTTGCGGACGGTTCGCCCCATCGACCAATTTCTCTACGAAAAGGTGAACTGTTTGTTTATGAGTAGAGGCCGGTTCCCGTCGCTTGCACTCCATACCTACCCTCTAAACGGAACGACTCCGAAGCCAGGGACGCCGAGACACCATCCGGTAATAGCAGTCCACATTGCAGTGACAAACATGAGGGGATGGCTACACCGGTGGGTGCAGACAACCGTATTTTCAAGTCCTTCATTTCCTTGCCATTAATCTCTCTTCTAGCACACCTTGCAAGCCGTCCTTTCCTGCTGCCTCACCTTCACCAGCTACTCCTTTTTCCAGTTTCGTCCCCTGGCTGCCGTCGCTCTTTCCGACCTCATTCTTGGCCGCCTCGCTGTCCTTCCCCTTTTCGGTGCTTGCACTCGTAGCGGAATCACCACTTTCTCCTCCTTGCGCATTGGGTTCGGGATCGCCGGACTCTTTCTCTTCGCCGCTAGGAGGATCCTCGCTGGTTTTGCTAGTTGAACCGCCTTTGCTTTCTCCCCCCTCGTCTTCGCTCTTCTCGGCGTCGCCGTCGTCAGCAACATCACCGACTTTTTCACTAACAACGCTGTTGTTGCTCCTGCTGCCCGCTCCACCCTCCCCGCTTTGTTTCTCCCTGTTACCGGCAGAAGTACCACCGCCGTCACTGCCCTTGGATACTGATGCTTCGCCTGTGCTGTTCTCTCGACTTTCTCCGTCACTGCCCTCATCCTTGTCCTCTGTCGGAGAGGCAGCCTCATCTGCGTCTTTATCACTCTTCGCGGAACCATCGTCGGACCCTCTGTTGGACGCCTTCTCGTCCTCTTCTCGTGCACTGCTGTTTCTTGACTTTTGATCGTCCGCAGCAGTACCTGATACACGATCTTCTTCTGCTGCTGCGGTAGTCTCGTTCTCAACGTTTCCGCGGCCCGATTTGTCCTCATCGTCGTCTCCGGCCATGACGGGATTGGACGGTGGTTGCGATTTGACGGCGCAAAGGCTTCACGTGTTAGAATGCTCTACGCCTCACCCTCTAAATCTGCTCGCTTACAGTAGCAGAGGAGGGGAGGAGAACACGGAGAGGAAGGCGATCGGCTGTTCGGGCACGGATAATTTGTATCACAGCCGGTGATCGCGGCGCAAGCTTTGTGGTTGGTCGCGAGGTCGAACAGACCGCGAGCGAAACCGACCAGAAGATGCGACGAATATGACAACGCCTCTTTTCATATTCCTTGGATATCTTTCCTTCACCCCCTGCCGCGTTTTCGTTCGCGCGCAAGTCTAGCGATAGTCTACTACAAGTTATCCATTGTGTGCATTGGGGAAGGTCATCATGAATGCTCACCTCCCGAAGGTTTGATGGCTATTGGTACTCTTCACCTCTTGGGGTTTTGGGCTTGGAACTTCAACGGCGTTCACGTGTATGTAGCTGTAGAAGCCCGGACGACGTATTGGCAGGAGTGAGCACGGAGCGTACATGGCACCATTAATGGTACGGGTGTCTCACAACAACAGGTGCGCCATCGATTGGTGTGCTGCCCCTTACCATCATAGTTTAGCCTGTGTTCTGGGTAATGTTCTCGTACCCAGGACTTTCTACCTGGTATTCTGCTGCTGTGCAGGTTCACGCGTTCTCCCTGCATGTTCACATTTTCTATATATACGTACAGTAGTACATATGTAATCTAGGCTAAATAGATACACTTTCAATACGTACGAAGCAGATGGAAGAGACGATGACCGTAGCGAACGCGTTAGGCCTTCGCAAATACTTCTCCATCATGATGCGATGGTTTGATTGCTGACTTGCCCCGCCTAATCATTGATTCGGTTTGATGGTAAACGTGTGGCCAGGTGTACCATCAAACCGAATGGTCGACAATTCGCAGGGACAAGCCAACAACCAATAATAATCCATCTCGTCACGACCTGTATGGGAAGATCCGACGCGTTCACCACGGTGACTCGTCTCTTTCATCTATCTCCTACACAAGGTTCGTATAGTGAAGACCAGAAGTCAGTTGCAAGCCCGGTCGGGAATATTTGGTAGTTGCAAGTATATTTCATACTTCCACGAATCCATCTCCATCCGGGTGTCAAAAGACCATCTCCGACGCGGTCGACTTTTTTTCGAAAAGGCAGGATCTCCGATATTCGCATAGTCTACAAAATCAAGTCGCTCGAACATTGCTCCGGTGTCGACTGGGACAGAAAACGACAGAAGAAGCGGAAAACAATTCTGTCTCCTGCCTCGAAAATTACCCCAAGATGTGGAAACGGGTGTTGTCTTTTCATGTTGATCTGATTGGTCCAATTGGATTGGAATATCTTCCCGTGTTCCCCCTGTGGTCGTGGTTGGCACCCCTTTCCAATTGTGTTCTGTTTCCCGAAAGACTCGCAGGTACGCGTAGCCAGGTCAAATATGTCCCTCATTCTCTAGCGCAGACTAGAGTCGTGGTATGGGGTGCCGTTCGTGTACCGTATGCGCTATGCACTCGTCGGTTCCCGAACAAAGAGACATGGCTAGAAAAGAACGCAACCAGCAGTTCTTGTCGAGAGAGCAGGCAGCACAAGAATGCAGCCAAAAGCAAACATCAAAATTGTGTGGTCGACCATGGCTGCCCGCGAACTTGTCTACACTCTGCGCATCTATGTAGGAGAAAGATGTGCGTCATCACCTCATTTCGAAATCGCGCAAGTATGGGAGCATGCAGTGACAATTCATTAAGAGGCGCTTGCTGTCGTTCGCCGCTCTCTAGGCACATCAGTTTGATTACGCAGGCCGAGGAGGGACACCAGAAAATCCCATCCAAACCAGCATCGCCAGCCAAAATTACGGCGACCTGTATCACGCGAGACACACAAAAAACAACCCACAGTCGAAGGTACAACATCTAGTGCCAATCACCCAGTGAACCCTCCGAACTGTTGTGAATTTTACCATGATTAAACCATAAACAGACACGAGAAGGTATGTTGAGCTGCACGAAACATTCGCAGCCGCTGACGCAGGACCAATACCGCCCCCCAGAGCGAATCCTGATTAACCTCCCCGGCTTCCAAGAAAAATGTGTCATACCACGCAATAAAAATGATCTAGCCCTTCCCGCGCGCGCGCACGCGTGCTATCTTGATCCAGCAGGTTCCTCGCTCTCCGGCCGCCCGCCTCCCCAAGCTCACGTCAAAACCCCGCGATGGCACAAACAAAACTCACTTAAAATACTTTGGCCCAAAATAAGAGGACGTCCCGCGGGAGAGAGCGGGTCGTCCTTCATGGTCTAGCGGGCAAAAACAAGAAACAAGCCAGAGAATAAGCATCTGCTCCACCACTGCAAAACTGATCACCTATGTTGTGCGCACCGGCGGGGAGACTAAGATTACGACGTCCCCCCGCACGAAGAGCATCTCGATACTTCGCTTTGAAGTCTGCGGGCCACGTCGGGCCCCAAGTATGCCGAGTGGTGTCGCAGCCAGCGGATGCAGCAAGAGCCACAGCAGTGAGCGGGGATAGGGAGAAGGGAAAAAGAGTCGGGAGCAGGGAGGTCAGTGTTGAGGCGTGGCAGATTCGAGGGACGCCGAGGGTGATGCTGTACAATCTAAACACTTCTCAATCATCGGCGGGTATGGTAGAAGATGCGAAATCTCACCGTGTAAGCGAGGAAAGTGTGTCGTTCACGGGCGCGTCATCGAACGGAGGACACGCAGCAAGCCAAAAATATATACAAAAAAAAGGTCCAGTCAATCTTGCTTGCACAGAACACCAACAGAGAAAAAAAAATGACTGACGGAAATGTGGCCCACACTCTACCGGCCCTTTAAAACCTTGGCTATCCACTGCTGTCGTTTTTGACCCACCGTCTCCGCCCTTGGGCAGCGTCTTGTCAGGGGAAGGGAACGTATTCCCGGACGAAACGGTACACAGTAGTCTAGACAGGACCCACAAAAACGAAGCAATATGTGTCTAGTTCTGTAGAAGGCCAACTACGTTGTGAGTTTTCAACGTCCGGGAACGTGGTGACTTGCGTCAGGAGCACGGGGGGACGCTCGTCCACTTCAACAGGAAATGCACCGATCGGCTCACAACGTCTTCGACCCCTAAAACCGGCCCCCCTGTGCTTCGCTCACATGTCCCAGCCCACTTCACTGCCTCTCCTCGCTCCAGATCAAACTGGTATGGGTTCCGCTCTTTCGCGACATTTTGTATCACAAACATTTCAGCATGCTTCCTTGTTGACGACAGTACCGCACGAATGAAAACGCAGCAGTGCTATGACCAATCAAAGACCCGTCCTTGTTCCCGCACAAAACAAGGAAGCGACGGGTGTCTGTGTTCCTCTTCAACGGCAAGCGGGCCAATCACACCAAAACGAGAACCCCGCAACGGGAAAGTAGGAAATAACGATTGGCCATCGGTGATGCGATTGGCCATCGGTGATCAGTCCTGTGGAAACAATGCTCCGTCCTCTCGAGGACGCGTGGTCCATGGTCTAACCGCTAAGGCATGCAAAACATCAGCACATGCCCCGCCTGCAACTCAGTTTTCTCTTACCCGAACGATCTCCTCGTACGTGTCCTCGTCCACCTCCACCGTGGTCACCGTTTCTTCCACATCCCCCAACACCATGTTCAAGTGCTGGTCGTACGACTGCCGAGAAATAACCAAGGCGCACGGGTTACGAAGGGGTGGGTACACATGCACACACATACCACACGAAAAAATGGGAGGGGGGGGGAGGGGAGGGAAGGGCTGGGTTCAAAGTGAAAGGAGGCCGAGAGGGAGAAACATACAACACGCCTCCCTCGAGAAGAAGCAAGAATGCAAACCGAAGGGTTGGTCGCTGAATTGAGCCCCTGCTTGCGCAACGCTTCCAGCAAAAGGGATTGGTTCGGGGAACAGGTTCCCGAATGCAGATCATCCAGCAAGCAGCTAAATAACAGAGTCCTGCTCAGACGCACAGCAGAATGTGAACCTTGATGATTTTTCGGTTGATCGGAGACTACAAGTACAGTATACATAGTGTACACAACTCGATATCAGAGGTTTCGCCGACAGACCCTGCTGGTAGAAACAGCCAACAGCGGCTTCACTAGTATGGCAACAATGAGTGGAGCCGCGGCAGGCGGAGGAAGGTACAGAGATCTGCCAAGAGAGCCGGGGAGGGGAGGCAAATCGACGCAAAGCTGCTAGAGGATTTGGTTGTAGCGACTACTTGCTGTAGCTCTCTGCCTGCGACAGCTGTGTGCAGCAACGGCCTCGTGCACAGCAAAATGTCATCCGAAAGTACTGCTGTTGTACCTGTAGTCTGTGCCCTGATGCAACCCAGTAGGCTACACAGCACTCGAAAGAAATACCAGTAGTTTTTAAAAAGTAGATGTGTGTCACGCAGAAGCAAAGCGGAACGATATGATCCGTCCCCCCGTCGCTGTGCAACGTTGTTGTCGTAATCAACACATCAACACATCCATGGAGTGCAGCTCGAACATGTCGGTGACAAATGATTCGCGATCGTTCTCTCGCTACAACAGCACGTGTATTGTAAGAGTAGCTAAACCTCACGTGCAGCTTGCCCCTTAGCTCCCGCTCTCCGCGGCATTTGACGTGGATCCTCTCATCGAGAGACAGCCGAATCAGATCCAGTGGCTCCTCAACAGAAGAAGACATGCCTGTCGCCTTGAACTCGTAGGTACGTTGGTAACTCAACTTTGGGCGTGGATGGCTGATGACCACCTCGCAGCTCGCAAGAGAGGCGGAAGGACCAAGCGCCGAGGCGGTGGAGCTCCGCGAAATGAATGTGGGTACCTCACCCCGCTCCAGGTAACAGTCCCGTGCCCAACGCAGGCACACGCCCGCTTCGTCATTTCGAGATGAAAGCTGGCTGCGTTCCTGCCTTGGCCTCATGCACGGGTCTGTTGCCGCTGGCCTACTGCATCACTGGATCTGCTACGAATGCCTTATCCTTTCAGCTCGCGCCGGGAATAGGCACTCGGCGGTGTCGTCGACAACCCAAAGTGCGAAGCAGTACGTTGCAGCAGGTGGTGCGGTTCAATGACAGAATAGGCGCGGTGTCCTGTTCGGATCGTAGCCGTGACGGCGGGTATCCAGCGGCGGTGTTGCAGCAGCAGTGGCGCCAAACGGCGAACGGCGACGGACCGCCGTCGCAGCGAGAAGGAGGGCTCCTTAGCTGCTGCCCTTCGGCGGCTGGCGGCCGAATAGCCGGACCCGATGGATCATTGTCGGCCGGATCAAAGTTCCCGGATCGACCGCCGCCGCCGTCTTCTTCAACTGCAGCGAAGGGTTCGCCGCGCGCTGTTCGTCGTGAGGACGATGAGCCTGTGCTTGGAGGCGGTAAAGGAGGCGTCTTTGGCTGGGATGGGTACATTTATAGCAGGTGGGAGCAGCAGCAGCAGCAGCAGCAGCAGCAGCAGCAGCAGGATCGTGGTGTTGTTGTCGCTACATGGAGAGCATCCGGTGGGCGGGTGAAAGAAGAGGTCTGGAGAAAAGGACGTCAGCGAAGTTGGAGCCCTCGCACGCATACCGCTGTGAGAATCAACGGCGGTGGTTCAGCAAGCGGAGGCTCAGGGCGGAATCGGCCCCCATCGTTGCCGTCTCCTCCTCGGACACACCGACGACGACACTCTAGCGAACAGCCCCAGCAACATGCGTCTATTTGGTACTTGCGGTACCACAGCAGCACCGGTGGCAGCCGCGGTCGCCGAGGTACGGCGCTTTCGATGGCGACATCGACGGGCGGTAGTGGTGCGGACAGTTCTTTCCCGAGAGGCCGAAGGGGCACCAAAAGACCAGCAGGAGAAGAATCCCCCGCAGCGAGACCGGCAGAACGCCACAGCGCGTGCGAAAGCACGGCGTCAGCGATATCGACAGACGAGCTTGCATCGCCACCACCAGACCAGGCAGCAGTAGCCATGGAAGACCCGAACAGCAGATCAACGACAGCAGTGGGAGAGGGCATAGATGTAACTCCGGGTCTGCCGGCACCTCCTGGACAGCCGCGGAAAGAAGTTCTGGCAAATAAGTCAACAGCGTTGATGCCAGAGCAAGACGGTCAAACTGGTTTCAAGCTGGAGACGAGCGGGGAGGGAGGGGGCGACTTTGCGGAGGAGGATTTCGACGGCCCAATCGCTGAGTCGTACGCGAGGGGGAGGTGGCTCCTGGGGCTGTTGGTCCTCCAGTCCTCGAGCTCTTTCGTGCTCGACCACTACCAGGTACGGCGGGCGTATTACGTGTGGCATGTACATGAGATCACCCAAAACCGGAGCCCAGCGCGATCAACGGTCGGCGGCAGATCCGAACCACTCCGTCGGCGTAACCGTCTTGTTTACATCAATGCACTACTTTTGCGTGTGTACCACGTTTTTCTGTTGTGCGCAAGGAGTTCCTGCGCCTCACAGCCGACGTAAAATACGCCTGATCGTCCTTAGTCTGAATCTACACGTGGAAGGAGAGAGGTTCCCAAACCTGTAATGTGCGAGCATTCTGTAAGCACCACTTTTCCCCCGTGTGCTTCGGGCAGCCTACAACCATGTTTCGTATTCCGGCATGCATTCCTCTCATGGCGACTGACTCCCGAGGAGCCTCGCACGTGTGACATATTCACATTGTGTACGCTTTTTTTTTTCTCCGTCCCCTCTTGTTGCCGGTGTTGTGACGGCATCATCTTCGGACAGACACATGTCTTGCTTTCTCACTGCAAGTGTATTTAATCGTTTTCAGGACCTTCTGCGCGAGCACGTGGTGGTGACCCTATTCCTCACGATGCTGGTCGGAGCGGGCGGGAACGCGGGAAACCAAAGTGCTATCAAGGTTCGAGTGTAGCAAGATAAACGAACACGGGTGTTGAAAGAGGCGTCAGTATACACAGGACTTCAGGGAGAGCCGTGCGTCGCTAATTTACGCAGTAAGAGCCAACGTTTGACAGCCGTTGAATTTCCGGGCCTTGGGGGGGTGCCCCAGGCGTTTTCCCCTCTGGACATCGTTGGTATTGTAGACACGCGTTGCATGAGCCACGAGCGTCGTTGTTGCCCTCTCTCTCCTCGGCGCTCTCCGGTGCGTATTGGTTGTGGTTACAACTGTGCCTTGTGCCGCGCTCCTTCGTGCTGTGCTCCATGCTTTGCCCCCGGCAGCACCTTTCCGTGAGCCCCCTGTGGCCGTCCTTTGGGTTTCCTTCTTTTTCATGATGTGCGGGCCTGCTCTTGTGCCTTGCCGTAAATATGTGTGCTGTCTAGGTTTAGATGTGCAACGCGTGCGCGATCCCCAAAAGGGAAATCGTGTGAACAACAATTTTCTTTCCTCAAGCCGCTCTGTTTTTTTTTTAATTATCTTTTCCGCGGACTCTTTGCTTGGGCATGGTGGCGGCATACGGCTCTGATGCTCAAGGTTATTCGAGGCCTGGCGACGGGACGCTTCACCCCTCATGCGGCGTGTGCCTTGAGTGTCATCGGGGATCAGGCAATTGTCGGGATTCTGCTGGGGACGGCCCTTGCCGCCGGGGGCTTCGTTCGCGTCTGGGTTACGGAAGGCACTACTCTGAGGTGACTACGCGATTGTCGTATTAAAACCGCTCTTGGAGTTAGATGCTATAGACCAATGAAAACTGATCTTGAAAGAAGGCTCAAAACAACTGCTATTAATACTGTGAACCGTGGTGATTTGGTGGCTCGGTGCTGTGCGAACATGATTCATGGGCTTGTTTGAAAGCCGTACTTGTAAATGTTCGAAATATATGGACAAGGAGCCCAGAAATCTCAAAGTCAAAATGATGTGGTTCACTTGAAAAAATAAAAATGACGGTCGAAAAAAAATTTAGAAGAGAAAAAAATACTGAAAGGAGAAAGGAAAAAAAAGAACGTCGTCGGCAGGACTCGAACCTGCGCGTGAAATCACAATGGGTTTCTAATCCATCCCCTTAACCACTCGGGCACGACGACGCTGATGGGATGTTGTGAAAATATTATGTTTATGAATACTCAGTACACAATAACATCGATCCAATAAGAAATCTGGCCGCCCACGGCATGGCCGTGATCCTGTATTTCCGTGCTTATGAAGTTGAGGGCACGTGTAGCGGGATTCCGGACGTCATGCTAGCCCCCCCCCATTCTGTCGCCCATATTTTTTCGTGCTCTACACAAGTGTTGGTTGGACGTGTATTGTATAGGATTTAGTGTGGAGTAGAAAAACCTAAAGTACCAAGGTGCGGAGTGCCACTGCCGTGACTGTACAAGTATACATGATAGACTTGAGTATTGAAGCAGTGAAAAAATAAGGAAGATATTGGTCGTGTGGTTTTTGTAAAAACGATTTATTCTTTGTTTATAGGATTTAATGTGGCATTCTAAAACCCATATAAATGCAGATATATATATAGGTTTCAGTATAAATGTACTAATTCCTATACAAACACGTCCCTGGTGCAGCACAGACTGTTTTATTCCACAATAGAATTATTAAGCAACGTTGATACCTATCAGGTAGCAATTGCTACCTCTCTAATCGCATTCAATCCCCCTCCCCCCTGCGACGGTCCGCATCCCAGCAGGACGTCAGGAATCCCGCTACAGTTCCCTTTCGTATGTTGCCATCAAAGTGGGTTTTATTGTCGTTGGCTTGGATTTACCCTGTTTGGTTAAGCACTGTTTACCTTGTTTGGCATCCGACCGGACCTAACACTTGTGTAAATGCTTCACCTTGGATTCATACTTCGGACCGCATCGGCACCCTGTTCCTCCCCCACGTGCACACACACACACAAACGTTCCCTTCCCTTCGCGGACGAGAACACTTGAAGAAACACACTGCTGTGCACGCAAACACACCTAGACGTTCTTAGCACGCGCACACCTTGCGCGCACACACCCCATCGCGCTATATGTTCCTTTGTTTCACACACACACTCGTATACAATGCGCGTACACCCCATTGGTGCTTTTTCTTTCCTTCCTTGTTTGAACCCGCTTTTGTTCTTGCAACGTCCCGCATGCATTGCTCACGACGCGCAACGGCAGGGATGCAAGCGCCATCTCTTCGAGCCTCTTCCTGATCGTGATGGCATCGGTCCTGCTGGGTTCGGCACTTCCTTTCGGATTCGCTCGCGCGGGCGTAGACCCTGCCAACGCCGGCACAACCATTCAGGTGTGTTGGGGGTGGCGAGAATTTACTTCGCCAATGCTAAATATTACCATAGTCTAACCCTTCGACAGCGCCTCCATTGTAAGGTCAGCAAATTTTATCACCGTCGTTTGTGTGTTGTCGATCCTGACAGTGTGTGAATACTGAAGTTCGAGGTCATTGTCGATGACATACGTTGTTCAGTAACAATAATGTGCCGCCGTTGAGCAACAGCGATAGTTGTTCGCCACTGCCTCTGTTTTGCGAACCTTGGTTCAGCACCATTCTGAAAGTCAGCGTTGTACAATCCTGATTGCGACCTCCGTCAACCCCTATCCACAACCTCCAAACAAATCCGCCGGCTCTTTCCACCTGTGGGGCTATCATTGGTTTCTTGTTGTGCCAGGGATGAGTTTTCACCGTTTGTCTGGCCCGTTGCCTTAATTTTTACGGTCCCGTTCAAGTTGAGAGCACTGCCTGTTGACGGGATACTGACAAGGATGTTGAGGTCACGGGAGGCGGCTCATGGTGTTTTTTTGCGCGTCATGCTCCAGCTCTCTCCACAGATGCCCCGCCTTCGTACGACGTACATTGATGATGATTGCATTGAAAAAACCATAACTTGAGCTGTCTCTGTCCCAGCACCTCGTTCCGACCAGTCACCTGCACAGCAATAAGGAGATTGATTTGGTACTGCTTGAACACGGACGCAGTAGTGGTTGGAAAGTTTCAACACCGTTGGTGACCCCCGATCGGAGCTCTTCAGTTCGAGAGGCCAAGAGACCGTGGGGTAGGCAAAAACTGCGAGAGATGGTTGACGAAATGAGATGAAGTAAAACGATGAGCGCCCTTTGAGAGGGCCTTACCAGCGCGTAGCGCTTAGCGGTAAAGATGTTTCAGTAAAGGGCGTGGCGGCGGAGGCCCTGTCGGTGTCGACTGTTCCTGCTTTCGTCAGCCAGTCAGCCCGCGAACGTATCGACGCAGAACACGTACTAGGTGCCATCGCTCTCTTAGCGTCCACAGGTCTGCTCGTTGTCACGGTGCATGGTGGAAGGATGGTCTTTAGCGCCCTCTGGAGAATGTGTCACAAGTGCATGATGCGTTGCAGCTCGCAGCACCGTGTCTACACGCTTGTTTAAGGAAAGTATACCTACCAGAATCGAAATCGCATGCCGCCACACCGAAGGCTGCCCTACCACAATTGCTCTGCGTGTAAGCCCACAACGGTACACTCCCTGCACGGTAGCACGTATCTTTGGTCCTGATGACGCCGGGCTAAGGAGCCTCGTAGCGGGGACAGCCGTACCCCCCGCCTTCTGATGTGACCCATGTCGCCCCCCTACACTCCTTGGTCTCTTTCCTCACCACTAGAGTTATTTAAAACTCAAAAAAATGCATGAAACCAGTGGAAGAGCCCGAAAAGTGGATGAATCGAGTTTTATACCAGAGTGGACTTTTGGGCAAAAATGCATGAATCGTGGGAAAAAATATGCTTGGGGCTCCAGAGCTCCAAGTATACATTTGTGTTCCGAGACGAACAGACTGCTCTCTCCATCTCCCTCTCTCCCTCTCCTCTCCCCTCGCTCTCCTCGCTTTTGCAGCAAACATCACCGCCGTCACAACAGCAAAGACACAGCACACAGCCATAACAGCGCTGCCACCACCGCCAGCCCCCAACCAAGCTTTCGGGCACTGCCCGAACGATTTTTTTGTTGTGCTACGTGCGTATCAACGCGTACGTGAGGTTGCTGCATGCTGCTACACCCTCTCTTTTCCCTTCTGCCCTCCTCTCTCGTCGTGCTCCTTTTTCTTTCTCTCTTTTTCTCTGGTACCGCCATCGCACGCAAGCACAGACGAACTAACGAACAGACACAATCCACAAGGCTCGCCGCATAGCTTATAGGCTGCCCCGTTGTTCTTTTGGGGGGAGGGCGGCCCTTCCTAGTCGGCATGGCGGGGAGGCTGGAGGTTGTTGCCGTTGATGCACAGGGTGTGCGTATATGCCTCTCTGCCTGTCTTTTTTAACTGTCTGCCTGTCTTTTCTTCTCTTTGGCACAAAAAAAGAGAAGGACCAACGGTTTGTCATCATCAACGTGCCCGCGTGCCAACATACAGAGTACCAGCTAGCGTGGGTTGGGGGCGTTCTTGGCAGAGACGAACGCGCCTTGTCCGCTATTCGTTTACTACGTCAGGGTGTGCATATATTCGTATCACCTTGAAAAAAGGCACTCTAATTTCGCATGCTGCTTGTTTCCGGTTTATCAAATATTTGGCTGCACCACAACGGCAGACCACCTGCCCAACACCGCTGTCCGAGGATGTATTGGCGCAGGCTAACAGTCCTGTGTTTTTATCCTGTGAAGATCTATTCTCGAGTTTTATATCACGGGAGGTTTTCAGCAAAAATGTACAAAGCAGCGAAAGGCCCAAAAAAGTCCTGCCGGTCCATGAATCGAGTTTTAAATAACTCTACTATGGTTGTCGTCAGATACCCCCCACGGCGCCCCTTTGTCAATGAAATCAATTTTTGCTGTCGGATGTCCACCTGCTGCACCCCTCTCTCGCGTACAACACGTGCGTTTTTTTTTTTTTTTTCCAGGTGGCTATGGACATCGTCGGAGTCGCGGTAACCTGCGTGACCTGCTCCCTGGTCTTGACCCAGCTGGATCAGGTCCTTACCCTTCCTCTTTGAGCGGTCTTGACCCAACTGGATCAGGTCCTTGCCCTTCCTTCGAGCGGTGTTGACCCAACTGGATCAAGCCCATGGTTTGAGCGGTCTTGACCAAACTGTTGGATCAGGTCCTTGCCCTTCTTCTCTGAACGGGGAGAGCGTCAAAGTGCGGTCGGGGCTGGCTGCGATCGATGCAATCTCCTCGGAGGGGGTATCGCGCAACTGCTGCTGCGTAGGGGTCGACGTGCGTAGTGTTATCTGCTGTATGTGTGTATTTAGATGAGAAATAATGGAAACGCTTTGGTAACCTTTGCCTGCACCTTGCGAGATATTCCAGCTCTGTTTGTGTAGATAGACTTGTAGACTACCACGAAATGCGCCTTTTTTAACGTGAAGTTTGAACCCACGACTTTGATGATCAATCCACGAGTTCTGAATTGGTGACCCGTTACTAGAGAGCGAGAGAAAATGTGCCCGCAGTGTTGTGGTGGCGATACTTTTTGAAAGAGGAGGCGTCAGTTAGTGAATGAAGCAACAATGAGGGCTAGGTGTTGGTCTTTCGTGTGTTGCGTGTGTTTGTGTTCAGAAGGTCACCTCCGCAATGCCCGTAGATTTCTTGTATTTTGTCTCCCGGTTTTGTTTTGCAGTTGTTGTATCGTTAGTTCCTAGCCCGCGGTATTTCGCCACCACAGAGAATCGTTTCTTTGCCGTGGAGAGTCAGTTGTACAGATGAGGTCAGAAGAACAACTTTTGATGCTAATGAACATAGACCGAAGTTTGGCGTGATTCCCCTTTTTTGTCTCTCTCTATGCCTATTTCCTTGTCGAAACGAAATCTACGAGAACCACAGAACCCGACAGCAAGGATTGTGTGTGTATTTTCCCTTGTCTCCGCCTACCTGCCGAACCAGATATATTTGAACGAGCAACCCGGGGGGAATCGTGCCCTGGGTCATGCTTTCGGGCGAGGGCATGCTGCGATGCGAAACTGACCTCTGGTCTCCGACAGAGAGGCGTGAAACAGACGGGGCATTGCATTGAGCGGGTTTTGTTGTCTATTTGGTCCCATCCGCGCGCAGTTTACCGTGATCGGTCACGCTCACCTTCCCAAGTTACCGTACCACAACGTCGTGGGACGGAACCAGTGATTTGGTACCAAGAAGCTCCCAATTCTGTCAAAACAACGAAGTTACACACCAACGTCGCCACCGGTGCCCACATAGTGCGTAACCTCGTCAACCTACCAAACAGCAGCAGGTGGGTTAATTCCCTCGTGGGTTTAACCCTACGCAACCTTACCGTCAAGAGCGATTATTGCGTGGGTTTTTCAATTCTGTGGTGAACAGCGATAAATTTGAGGGTTAAATTAAGACGTCCTAAACTTACAATACCGAATGGTACCTACTGGCGCCAGAATAGATGGGGTGAAAACAAATCCACAAATACGGCCATGAGGGCTATTCATTGTTCCGATGGCTGCTGCTGCAGCTGCCTCCCTGTCAGCATGCCATGCGCTTGTCTACACGAAATCTTGTCGCACGAAACGTAATGAAGCTGCGAGTGAACCCCCCCCCCGCCCCCCCTACGGCGTGACCATTCCCCGTGCCCCTGATACCCTCTCCTTTCCGTGGCCCCATACGTATGACGTAACATCGCGCAAGCTACCGCCGTCGCCGCTGCGATAGCCATCAGCATCCACCCTTTGGGACAAGTCGAATCTCGAGGTCGAAAAACCTACGAAGTGGTACCAATTGAAACAAACCCGCCGGGTCGAAAACGCTGCAAAAACAAAAAACAAAACCACTTCGCCGTTACACAACAAACACCAACATCCAACAGGTGGAACGCCCCCCGCCCCCCCTCCCCTCCCCTCCCAACGCAAGCTCTCGGCTGATTCCACCGACACCCCTTAACCCAACTGTAGTGCCGACGGAGGCCATTACCAAAGCGACATATCCAGAAAGGGGTGTCTGGTAGGGTACGTAGAGAGGCGCCGCAGGTATTCTCGTTCTACCGGGGCAACGGAAATTCCGTGAGTTCTGTGACGATTCCGAAACCCTATTAAGTCTGGACTTCTGCAAACCTTCTCTACTCGGAAGTTCTGTGAGTTCTGTATACCCGGGGCGCGGGCACAACGAAAACAAAACGACACACAGGGAACAAACGGTGCAGTACCCCGAAGACAGCGAAAATACCGGGACAAGTAAACAAAACCCGTGGCGCGGGAACGGGTGTGGTAAACGTTTGTGTGAAGATACTAGAGCGTTCTGTGAGTTCTGTACGACGTTCTCACACAGGCGATTTTTTTCTCTTGAGTTCGGTGGAACTTCCAAACCCTAACCGATTATTCGGAGAGTTCTGCGACAATTTCCGAAATCCTATGCGGAACTTACGGACGCCCCACAGAAGACAATTCCTTCGCTAGATAGTCATGGGCGGCGGCCTCCATCGAAACAAGCCGCAGCTTGTCACCACTTGCCGCTCTTCCTGGCGCGGCCTCCTTACTCCCGAATGAATGCCGATGGCCCGCAAAAAAACAATACAGCCCAGTACATAGTTTGCAAACATGAGCTATAAAGCAGGACGGCGCTGCAAGAGCCTCCCCCCACCAGCCCCTTTCTGGGCGTGCGCAATCTCCACTCTAGTCGTGTCTTCCTGCCCATGGGGGAAAAAACACTACAGTACAGCTGTGCGCGAGACCATCACGTTTCGGCGCCGTTAGCGCCCGTTCCCGAACTATCGGCGCCAAGCAGCGCTGCCGCCGCGGCCGCCTCCGCCGCCGCCGCCGCCGTCTCGGAAGACGCATCGCCGGCGCTGTTCACGGACGACGATCCCGCGGTGGCACGCCTGAACAGCGAAGAGGTGGACCTCTCGCTGTGGGCGCTGTTCTCTCTGCTGACTCTCCCGGCCGCCGCCGCCGCCGCGGCCGCAATCATCGCCTGCCCCACCGTAGCGCTCCCTCTCTTCACGTTTTTCGTGCCGGCTAGGCGCCTGCTTAATATTTCATTTTCAAGTCGGTGTGCGTGAGGGGCGACGGCGACAAGGGCGACGGGGGAAACGTGGCTCAAGGCGCGACACACGAACAGCTGCACGCAGACCGTTCTCGCTGCACGCAACCATCGACCGCGTCTCAAACGCTCTTCACGATGGATGCACGGCGGTGTGACAAAAATACTACAGTAAGGGCCCCGGTTAAGCGACATGCCCTATTTAGCGATCACAAAACCACGTCGCACCGACCGCCGCATCCCGGTTGTACAACTGCTACGTAAGTGGTAGGTCCGTTCAGCGACCTGCCCGGGATGGCGGCCACATTTCGCCGTGACACAAAAATAATAAGGGTCGCTAAAGCGAGGCCCCCACTGTAGCGAAAAGGTCAACAAAGCACGCCTTCATGGAACACCCTTCCGAGACGGGCTCTTGCCTGTTGGAGCCCCGTGCAGAGCCCGTCAAGAGCGAAGCGCGCTCGTCCAGCCCGGGGGCGGCAGGCGGGGAAGAGGAGAACATGGTGGGGCTGTTGGAGCGGCTGCGGGGGCCCCCGAAGCTGTTGCCGCCTTCCATGGACTGGTACGACGGGGAGACCGGAGGGGCGCTGCCCCGGGAGGACGGAGGGCCGTTCTTCGCGCCGAGGTGCTTGAGGAGGTTGGTCTCTTCGGTCTCGAGCTGCTTCACGAGGGGCTGTTGTTGCATGTTGAAGGCCGTCGTTGTTGTTTTCGCGAGATCGATTCGGTCGTACAGGAGGAGAGACGCGGGGGGGGGGGGGGGGGGGGTACTCATAGTCGTGCATGCCGTAGTCGTTTGACCATTGACCTCGCATCCCTACAAAGCCGGGACGGAGCACGCCGGGTTCTCACCGGACCAGGCTCTCACATCACCAAGCGCGAAGCGCCGTGAGGTATTTGGCGAGTCGCATGAAGGGTGAGCTGCATCCTGCTAAGGGTGTTCGGCATCTTGTGCTTACTTCCTTGCGCACGGATGACAGCTACGTATGACTTAATTTATTTTCTGGTGCTTTCACTTCCAGAGACAGTTGTAAGCACTGTGTAACTGCCTCGAGGAAGCTTGACCATTTTAACACAACGTGGTG